GGGGTTTAGATGGGGGTAAAGGAAAAGAACATTAAGACTACAGAACTGTTTAGGGTTTGGGGTTTAGGGTTCAAGGGTTGCCAAAAGGGTCCAAGTACTCAGGGTGCCTTGAAAGGGGTTGAAGGCATACATGAGAAATACAAGGTTTTTTAGGGATACATAAGGATACATCGGGAGATATAGGGATTTGCGGGCCGGCGCTGAAGTACGCAAAATGTTGGATGCTACGGGATGTGGACGATGGCAATTCTGGTGCAGGCTTTAGGGGGGCATATGGGTGGTTGTCAAAGTTATGGTCCCTTTTTGGATCCCTATTACCATACCATAATTTTGACAACCACCCATACGATTCAATGATTACCACGTACTTGTTCCCGGGTGCGTAGAAACTCCGGGATTCCCATTGGGGACGTATAGGCCCGACTACCCTAAACCCTAAATCCAGTCCCTCTCTGGCTACTTGCTAGCACATGGTGACAAGCCTAGGGCTTCAGAGTCTGTGTGGTTCAGGTTCTAGTGCTTTGGATTTTGAATTATGAGCCTCATTACCTCATCGTTCCCGTCTCTAGGTTCAGAATGCAGGGCAACGTTGCAGTTCATGGTTCGGCGTATCGGGTCACAATATTATGCTGCTAGACAGAACCTTGTTAGGAAAATAAGATCGTCTTTAGGGCAAAGGTCTTTTAAGGAATGATCTGCCTGCCGGCGTAACTGCCAGGAGGCCTGTAAACAACTTGAAGGGAACAGGCCATTGCATTTTCAATTTTCTTTTCCATTTGATTCTCCATTATTGGGATTGTATATAAACATATGTATATATATATACATATCCCCGACAGCCTAAACCCTGCCTTGAAGCCCAAATCCCTAAAACCCCTAAACCATGACCGTCAATCGCCCTCTCCAAAGCCCCAATGCATTTGTTGGTTTTTCTGGGAATATGCGTATGCAGTACAACCCAGGTTTTCGGAGGGCAGAGGACTTCAAAAACGCAGGGAGCTCAGTGACGTAGAGCCGCCTTATGCTTGTTCTTGGAGACAGTCACCCTTGCATCATGTTGGGAGATGGGCGATGTGCTTGGGATGCGTAGTTCAGGGTTGAACTCCGAAGCGTGCGGCCTGAATCATCACGAACCCTCAGCCCTGAATCCTAAACTCTGACCCCCTTCCCCAACTTCAAGCTCTGAACCTTCGAAGCCAAACCCTGCATTTAGGGTTAAGCCATGGGTATAAGTGCGGAACCTCACACTCAAATGACTGTGGGAAATTGAATGGACACTTTTCTGTCCCTTTCAGCAAGTTCTCTAGGGTTATAAAGCCCATATACTCCAAATGAACCGAATTGCCTGCTCCGGGTCAAACGCTGACGCCTGCAGCAGTTCAAAATTTACTTACTCGATGGCTACCTTTTGGGTGCCGGTAGGACATAGTGTGCCCTCTACTTATACCCTTATACCCCTTTATAATCCACATAGTAATCGCAGTGGTCCTCCTTCTTGCCCTGTTTCACAAGTCCTCCTGACCCTCCAAGTAGCAAAGTTTGCATGAAGACACTGGTTCACGGGGACAGGGGCATGTGAAGGTATTACTCCCTAAATATAGTTTTCATTTTCTTTTCCATTTTCCCTATATTGGGGTTATGTTCTAAAAGGGATCTATTCCCTACTATTCCCTACTGACCACCCAGAAGTGTAGGATCTTCTTTTGGCGTGCACTGTTCTTACTTGGGCTGATGCGCTATCAACAGTGAGCATGCTTCCTTGATCAGCTCTATCCAGCCTTGATGCAACAAGCTGCTCCTGCTGTTGCTTATCATGTTGCTGTAATTCTGTGAGCACGTATCTCAGAATCCTGTAGGCGCCTTCTATTCAGTACTATCTGATGTTGGAGTTTAAATGTATTTCCTGAAAAGACAAATGAGATTTCGATCAGGCTTTGCCAGGGCTGGATAGCTATAAAGTTTTCCAAACTTGCGGCGGCAGATTGCCAAGGCCTGAACAACAGTGGACTAGAGCCTGTCTATGAGCTCATTACCAGCTAAATCCTACACCTTAACCACTCTGGCAGTTTTGGGGCTCAGCGGTCCCCATAGCAAGACACGTCCCAGAACCCAATCACAAAATCTGACTGACCCCTAAACTTAGAACGCAATCCATACATCCCAGTCCCCAGAACCTTCAAGGTTTAGGGTTTAGAACTTAAGGGTTAGTACTAAACAATTGGGAGCACATATTTTCCCCCAACTGTTTAGTTCAAGGTTTATAGGGTTTAGGGTTTCAGGGCTCTTGGTAGTGCTCAAAGGTAGGGGCCCCTCTTCTCCAGGAATCTGCCTATATGAGCTGTAGTCTAAACTCCTAGTATCCCCCTTAATAACCCTTATAGTAGTCCCCTATATATATATAACCCCCTTTAAGGAGTTTAGACTATAACTCATATGGGAAGGTTCACTAAAGGAACTTTTATAAGAAATGGTCATAACATGGGTGCCCTGAAACTTCAGCATTTTGCATCTCTCAAACCCCTGAACCCGCTTGCCTGTAGGGCATTTCGTGAGGCCGCTTCCTCAAAGCCTAACCTGGGCTCTGTTGCATCTAGACCGGTGGCCACCCAACTGTGGCACCTAATTTTTAGGGGGGGTGTATGAAATTACCGCCTACCTGTAACTAGATCTACCTGTAGTTAATTGTCATAGCCATTGAATACGCAACATGGCTCCATCCAAAAACTGGTGGTTTAAAGCCTTGTCAACACCTTATGGTGATGTGTCTCGAACTAACAACTCCAGCAGGCCTGGTGTTTGCTGGGAGGCCAATTCTTGGGTGGAATGTAAGAAGCTCTTGAAGCAAAACTCCTCATCCTCTTGACTTAACCAAATACTACCAGTACTAAAAGTTACTGCCACTCCGCGCTTCTTGCCCGCTCCCGTCACAACCCATCCCCACCACACCCCACCACTACTACCACCATCCGAAATCTCCTCAAGTGATGATCAACCTCCCCACGCCAAAAAATCACAGCAACATGGAGTCTTAAAAGGAGTTTACCCGAGCTTCTAGATCCTAAACCCCTAAAAAGCCTAGACCCCAAACACCCTAACTTATCTTCTCCGCCGAAATTCTGTAGAAGCTGCTCGAGGGCCAAGATACGCTGAGGGTCACCTAAGCTTGGCGTCTCTGCGCGTGGAAGGCTCCCTGTAGCCTCTGAGAGGCCCTTGTTTCGGAGTACTGTTATATGCAAGGTACACAGGGATAAGTGTATGTATGCATTTGTATGTGTGTATATACATATATACCTGTGTCCATGTATACATATGGAGAGATATGTAGATATGGAACCAGAGGTCTGGTTGTGGGGCTGGGATTGTGGGTGTAGACTTCTGCAAACTAACATGGAAGCCTCGAAGAGCGCCCAGGGGTCCACATGGGGTTCAGTGTTGGCCTCAGCGACGCTGAGTCTATCATTGGAAGCGTTTTGAAATCATGGTTTCATGTCTAGGGGTCACATCAAGGGCTCTGTCTAAGCATATCATGAAGATTAGTATTATCCAAGTGTTGATGAGTGGGGTAGTACCCAAGTTTCATGGTTCTGGAGAGGTTGCATACACATGATGGTTTCCGTAGGGGGGCACCAATATGGACCCCAACATCTTATAACCCTCACTATTAGAACCCCCAAAATGGTACCCTTAATTTTGCGAAATCCCAACATAGGACTCGTGGTTCAAATTCCTCGGCCCGCAAAGCGCAGGCACTTGGCCATGTCTCAAAGCGAGGTCTGGCGGTGTGCGCGCTAAAATAATGCTGCGCCTGTTACCACCACCCCCAAAAGTATGTAGAATTTTGCCCTAATAATAGCCTTTTGGCTATTTGGGGGGGTTTTGGGTCCAGTACTTTTATGAGAGCTGGCTCTTGGTTTGCAAAAGATCTTTTCGCAGTCCGCAAACACGAGAAACCGCAAAAAGGTTGAAGGATCCTGGCGACCACATGCGACCACGACCCCAAAATTGTTGTACCTTCTTAGAATATCTACTTCTGCTGTCCCATATATTTAAGCCCTATGGGGAGTACAAGGACCTGTATAACTCTTGATAGGGGCGTTCTAAAGATGTAGAAGACATGAACCCTGGCAACGACATGTATCCAAATCTCACGAACTTACTGCTCAAATCACAAGCCACCGAGGGCTGATCATCTCAAATCGGAATAGGTGCTTGCTATTCATGGTCGTAATGGTGCCATGCGGAGTTTTCTGCGATGTTCCCTACTAGTTTCGCAACACACTGAAGATGTCCCTTCCCAGAGAGGCCGCATCATGTTTGATCCGCTGGCAGCAGAGTCAGAAGTAGAACGCTTTCTTCCATGCCCCAATGATGGAAGCATCGAATCGGAGATCAGCAAAGTCCCTGCATTCACTGGTAAACACGGAGAATGACAAGCTTACAACTGCTCATTAACATTTATCACAGCAGAATTATTTCAGTGCCGTTGCAGGCTCTCTGCTTCAAGCAGGAAATGACCTCGCACCGTCTGTGACAGACGTAAACTGGCAAAGGCCAAAGCTGTACAACATCGTTTTAGATCTGATGTCAAAAGGCAAAGACTCCACCGGAAACTGTACTGGAGTAGCAAGCTGATGGCAGGAAGCACTTGTTGCTTCAAGGTACGCGGTGCTGGTGAATAGTGACAAACATGTCCTACAGCGGCTGAGCAGGGAAAGCAGCAAAACAAGAGCAATGCAGGTAGCCAACGTCCGAATGCCTATCGCTTCAGTAGCAGGGACGCTGCACTTTGCGAAAAGTGCCGCGCGAAGCCCGTACTTCATTTGAAGGCAAAGAGACGCGGTTAAGTGACAGACTCCTTTTGCATCTCGGTCCCCAAGCTCATCCCATGCCATAACTTATATAAGTTACCTAGCAAAGACCAGTCCTCTCATCCCTACTTGAAATGCTGAGGCCTGTGCTTTCATAAGCTCTCAGGGCTGCAGTTGTCCAGTCACTTACACCTACTGCTTGCAAAGACCCATTGCTTCAAATGGATCTTTGAAGAAGCCCCGCATTTTGCGCCCAGCTCTCAGGACGCCGGCGATCCTCTCAAGAATCGCGATCACCTTGTTTAGGGGTTTAGGGTTTAGTGGCGGATGTAATGGGTATGTTGGGCATGAGGTACATGTTGGGTATAGTGGGTATGTTATTGGGTATACTACTGCGTACATTCTACGGTATATTGGATACAATGGGTAGACAATATGGCAGTTTCCTGAAATAAAGTGACCCAAGATAGACCCCAACATACTATCATCTTCATCACGGGGATCCCCAAAAGGTACCCCTAACTTTAGGAAACCTTTAGGAAACCCCCATATCATCACCTTGCTGTTGTAATGTCCGCTGAAGTCCACCACGGTCGTGATCGTGGCAAACCTAGGCTCCGCAGAAAAACCCTTACCTGGACCCCAAAAGTATGTAAAATAATGGCCTTTATGGCTATTATTAAGGGTTTAGGGGTGCCCTTAAGGAGCCTCCAAAACAGAAAGGGCAAAAGGGTTCTGCTGGCGTACCCCTACACCCTAAGCCCTATGTGTCCCCATATACCCCTATAAAAGGGTACGCCTTGGGGTACCTAGAAGCCAGGCAATGATACCTGCTGCATCGAGCAAAGCATGACGATTGCCGGCTGCGGAGACCAAGGCGTCACGAGCATCCTTTGCTTCTTGAGCATTCCTTACTCCACACAACTATAACTAGGGGGCCCCAATAACTGAGTATATTGGGATTATGTATAGGGGATATACTATAGTATATTCGGGTTGTATTGGGATAGTGGACAAGAAAATGGAAACCATTCTCTGGGTTGGCCCCTAAAACCCTTTGAAAAATATTAGTATATCGGGTCCCTTATTAAAGCCTTTAGGGAAAATATTAAATATCCCAGGGGCCTACCCAGAACTGTAGGGTTGAGGGGTTTAGGGTGTAGGGTTCAGGGGCGTTGGGTTTAAGATGTGTAGGGTTTGGGAAACGAAAAAAAAAGCATTCCGTTAAGCACGCAATACTGGCAGACTAGGTGTGTGAGTTAGGCACAATTTGAAGACCTTGACCTTTGGTCTCGAAATGTCTTACCTAGCGGGAAATTGCGAGAGAGAGAGAGAGAGAGAGACGGATGCAAGAACAGCAATCAAGCAGCTTATACTTGCAGACGCATACAGAGGTTTTGTGCAAGGCTTGCGCGGAAGCCATGAGCACAAAAACACATTCTAGCGCTCAGTTGGCGTGCACAAGCGTTGTAGGCTTTGTTGCGCAGGAGTGTAGCAAGAGGTCATTGCAAGAGGAGGGGAGGGCAATTTGTCTCACCTCTTGCCACACACAGCAATGACGTCAACATTAGTCTCCTTGATCTTCAGGAAACTTGGCAATGGAACAGCGATGATGCTTGAACATCTTCATTAGCTCTACCTTCAGCTGTGATTGAAAAAGACCCCAATTATACTACACCCCTAGTATATCCCACAATCTGCTCCCAAGGGTATGCTAGGGGTGGATTACCAACTGTACCAACCTTGCTGTCAATGCAACATTTGCAATGTTGCTTCGACGCTTCAGTTTCTCGATGTCGCTAACATGCTAGTGCTAAACCCCAAATCCTAAACCCTCCTAAATGCTAAACCCCAAAGCCTAAAGCCTCATGCCTAAACCCTCCTAAATCCCTAAACCCTAAGCCCCAACATCTAAAACGCTAAACCCAACCCTTAAACCCTAAAGCCATAAGCTTAGGATCCTGGCCTGGCAGCACAGACGGCTCTGGAGACCATAGGGCCGGGGGGATATATTGGGAGGAGATTTGGGGTTTATGGTTTAAGTTTTAGGATTTAGGGTTTGGGGTGTAGAGTTTACAATTTAGGGTTTAGGGCTCAGGGTTTAGCAGTTAGGGTTTAGCCTTTAGGATTTAGGGTTTGGAGTTTATAGGGTTTAGGGTTAGAGAATGCTTTGGGGGGATGTTAGAGGTATGCCAGCAGCACATCATGGGTCTACTTTTATGACTATTTTCCCATCGCGTCCATAGTACCCTAAACCCTTACTTCTCGAGAAGCCTTGTCGACATGAAGCTCACCATCATAGGTTATAGGAGGACCCCCACCCCTGTAATGGTGGTATAGTAGGAATATGGGGGTTTCCTGAAATTTGGGGGTAGAATCTTGGCTATCCCCACAATAGTGGCTATAGTATTCTTGGGTCTATATTGGGGTTCCCCTTATTTTGGGAATTTACCATATAAGAAGGCCTGAATATTATCCTTATTTTCCATTATAGTTGCTATTACTGGGTGGGGGATCCGCCTGATTCATGGGTTTGGAAATTCATCAACTGGCAAATTCGGCAAGACCTTTACTGAACTCAGTCAGCCCTTTTTACCAAAGGCCTCCAAAACGAAATCTTGCCTCATACCGCAGCCCTCGGAACCACAAATCGGGTTGTATGTGTAATACCTGCAACTGTAAGTTCCATGAAACCTGCTAGAAATCACAATTTCAGCTGGACCTTAGGATTATAGATAGCAGAAATTACCAATTATTTTTGGGGAGCTTCAAGGTAAGCCCTAACTACCTGCCCAAATGAGCCTAAGATCTCGGGGTTCGCAGCGACAGCAGCAGCCAGCGCCGCAATTTCAGTGTGGAGGGGCAAGCGCTCCCCCTGGACAGCATCTTCCGCAACTTTCAGTGCGCTTGCATGAGACTCCTGGGTTGCTGTTAAGGAACTTAAGTTACCATAATGAGCATTTATTTAGTAATTGTGGGGTTTCCCCAATATACAGTAACTTAGATTAAGTTCCTGAACAGCAACCCAGGCTCCTGTCAGTAGCCGCAAGACTTGGTCCTGGTGTAGACGGCTGCAGCAATTTCAAGCTGGCCGCGCGTCAAGTGTCGATCCTCGCCGGGCACTTTGAAGAACCTTGTTGCATCTTCCACTGGAAAGTACATGACATTGGCAAGGCGGAGGAAATCCATGCAAGTCAGAGGCGATGCGGAGGCTTTTGATGTGGGAGCTGCATCGTCTGCTGTAGCAAACATCCACGTTGTCTTGTCGAAGTCGGATCGTCCTGCAACGTCTTCCCGGAGTTGCGAGGCATTCAAATACGGACCCCATGCTATGGCCATGTTCGTGTTCAAGGGACCCACGGCGTAGTTCGAGACACTCCTGGGTTGCTGTAACTTGAATCGAGGTACCATGATGGGTATATATAGTAATTAATAGGGTTTCCTCATTATAGTGACTTAAGTATATATATATATAATAGTTTATAAGGGTTCCCCATTATAATTTCTTAAGTTATGAGTTCCTTAACAGCAACCCAGGCTCTTGAACTGAGCTGGCTGGCAGACCCTGGGCTTCTCCGGGAGCTCGGGGCAGGGCAACCCAGAGGCAGCGAAGAAGGCTCTGATGCCGGAGCAAAGTGCTGCGACCGTGGCAAGCTCTATGGCCATTGCCTGGGTTGCTTTTAGGGAACTTATGATTTTAGGGAACTTATGATTTAGGTTAACTTACTAGTATGGCAACTTAATTTCGATTCCTTAACAGCAACCCAGTTGCTTTGTACTCATCTGGTCCATATTCATTTCCGGCAACTTTGCTTGCAGTATGATACTGTTCCAGTCGCTCCAAGACACTGTCAAAGAAAGGCTTGTCTAGCATCTGTTGATGGTTGACGATTGCATGCGCAATGTCTCTGAATGGACCGTTGGTGACATAGACGTGATCAATCTCGTCGTGATTGTACTGGGCAAACGGGACTCCTTGCGTAATACCCTGCTGCTTTGCAGCAAGACAGCCTTTGCAGGCTCCCCAAGCTGCATAAGCCTCTGCGGCAAATTCCCAACGCTCGTCAGACGAGAAGAAGTCACCGGGGCCCACCACGTGCTCTAGAACCAGCTTAATCACGTCGAGCTGATTCTTCTGCCTGATGGCCTCTCTTTCTGTGGACGTGGGCACGGCTTCCTGATAGTAGCCTGGGCGCCCGAATATGCAGGCAAAGCAACAACGCTTATCATACCTGCCGTGTCTATCCTTGCAACTTGCAATAACAAGGCTGGCTCAAAACCAATCCGAGCAGCCGGTGAAGAAGTTGTAGATGACATCACCAGCGAGTTGCATCACCGCGCGGCCTCGCGTCCCCGCTGCCATGACCTTTACAATCTTCCTGCAGGAATCCTCCTGCAAGACTGTACAACTGTACAAGAAAGAGCTCCGACTATGTGCGAATGACTTGAGCTTAGACCGCCCATGCCGAATGCATGCCCGCTGGCCATCATGGATGCGCTATCTCACTCGCCAAATAATAGACCCCAAAAAACACCTAACTCCCTATAATGTAGCTCCCAGGCTCCCCGACGTCAGCAACCAGCGTCTTCCAAGCCCGGCAGCATGCACTGAACAACCCTTCTTTACAGCGGTCTGAACCACCAAGCCCTTCCTCAGACTGGGAACCCAGGTTTAGGGTTTCTCTTTCGAGTACCTTTACGGGTGGGCGTCTGAGAAACGCCACATGATCAAACTGATGCCCTCTAGACATGGACTGCCGATGAAGTGAGATGAACCACATGAGGATGAGTCGTCCTAGACTTACCCAGTCGGACCCCAAACTACCTCCATTATGGTCTAAGTCGCCCCAAATGGGACAACTAAATTCGGAGCACCATAACCATCTGCCCTCGTGAACATCAACATCCAGATGAATGGGCAAGGCTTCGGTATCATGCAGTTGCAATGCCGTCGGCCCTGATCAGGAGAGGAGATTCTTGTTTAAACTATGCGCACTTTCTGAGGGGCTGCAGACAAGATGCCAACATTTCAGGGCTGTGTACGGGTGCCCGGAAGGTGATACATGTGCAACATGGAGGTGGACTGCTTCTCTTGTAGCAAGGAGGTATTCCACATATGCATGGGGACTGTAGGAACTGATAATCATGGGGTGATGTAGGTTCTACTGAATCTCCTCCCCTCGGCGCTTGCAGGCTGACGAACCGAAACTCCAAACCGTAAAAAACCCGAACACCGTAAACTTTAAGTCTCTAAGGTCCAAACAAACTCTTCAGTGCCAAGACGCTCCAAAGCGTCTGAGCCACTGCATCGGCACCAAGCTGATGAGTTGATTGCCTTGCTTCGGTGGTTTAGGGTTCAGGGTTTAGGGGTTCAGGATTTAAGGTGTAACAGTTTATAGGGGTCATCTTAAGGGCTCTATATACTCATAGTATGAATATTATCCAGCTGTTCGTTAGTTCAGTTAGGACCCAGTACAAGAGGGAAGTTTGTGTCCAATGCGGGGAGCTTGTATACTGAGAAAAAAGGGTCCGTGCGGAATTACATGCCAGGCATGGTTGCCTTAGATCAAAGTCTAGAGGGGTGTGAGGTCTTGGGTTCGGAATCTGACGTTTAGAGGGGGTGAGGGTTTAGAGTTTGTGGGTTAGAGAAATTTAGGCTTGCGGCTAGACCTTAACTGAAGGTTTCAAATTTAGATGAGGGCCAGAGGGCTTGCGGGTCTTAAGCTCAAATCTAGAATAAGTATACAGGCCAGAGGATTCAGCACTTTGAGCTTTGGGATGCGAACTAGTTTAGGGTTTGAAGGCCTCCAGTCTGAACCTCAAGCCCTGCTGCAGGCCACGCCTCCTCCTTCAGGGCACACCATCCCTCTACTACTATAATGGTACCTGAAGCTTGGGACATCATGCCACAACCTGGAATCATTAGCTCTAAGACTCCAAGACCTCGGCCTTGAGCAAAGGCATCACAACCGCTGCTTGGTGCATGCATCTTGCATGGCGTTTCTGGGAACGTGGACACTTCAGATAAGCAAAAGGGCGCAGCATATCTCTGTCTCTGTCAAACACCGACGCTCGCTCTCTCTCCCTCTCTTTCTCTCATCTTCGTCTTCTTCTCTTCTTCTTCTACTACAGCGGCGGCACTCCCGAAGAGTGAGCGGCCTTCGCGATCCATCATAGCAGCCGCGCTCTCCCTCTCTCTCTCTCTCTCTCTCTCTCTCTCTTGCTCTTCTTCTCTCTCTTTCTTTCTGCGTTTGAAGGTTGGGGTGCAAATCTTTTCAAACAGAGAGTTGTTAGAGGGTCGATGGTCTCTGCAGCTGCTTCCGCAATATCCTGGTAGCCCTCACACCCTTAATACTACTTTCTCATAAGGACCTTTTCCACGAGCACGTAGCTTATTCCTCCTGAGCTCCTGTCCAGGAAGCACTCCCTCAACCTGCACAAGGGGAAATAGGGGAGCAAACCCCCATGATCATGATAATCTCTAATTACACTGCTTGGAACAGTTCCTATATTCCCCGTATTCCTCCTTGAACGTTGCAAGCCCTGAACGCCTACCATTTTTTATGTTTGTTTTCTTCCCCGAATTCCCCTTCAAAAGTCCTAGCAAAGCCCGCCAGGTCACAGTTTCGCCAGCTCGTTGGAGCGCCGGGGATCTTCCGGATCTGTCAGAGTTTGCCACTGCCTTCGGTCCCGAAATTGACAGGAGACTGTTGCTGACCCTAGATAATCCCAAATATACTATATAGTAGTCGCCAGTTGGTTTTCCATCTTGGGTACGTGATGCATCCTCGTTTGCATTCCGGATGGAAAGACAGAAGCGACCACAAGTACAGCTCAAAGTCGAGTCTGCCAACATAATCTCTCTCCATACCTTCCTCACTTATTCTAGAAGATGTATAGCCCCCCCTACGTAGATGGAATATGGCTTTGGATATATTATAACAAGATCCCCATCTACCCCATGTTCTATCTACTTACGGGGGACTATAATCTTTAGATGGTTTGGGGGGTGCCTGGGCAGTTACCAAACCAGCCTTATAACACAATGAGGCTCGGATGACACTGGAGAAGACTGCAACGAGCCCTATACTGGTACCTATGACTATTCCTTATGGTCCTGGCCCCTTATTTTACCTACTTTACAGGGTCCAGGTATAATCCCCCTTTATAGTAGATAGAATATGGGGTATATGGGGATCTTTTTGTAATATGCCCAAAGCCATATTCTATCTACTTAAGGAGGCCGGGTAGACCCTACGTCCGCAGCGCCTGAAATCTACAACAAATGGTAGTTTCCCAAAATAATGGGTATCCCACTATAGGCCCCCAAATACTAGAATCCTTATTGTTGGGGGCCCCTAAATGGTACCCCTAATTTCGAGAAATCCCCAAATCTTGGCAGCCCAGGTGCTTCTTCATCTGCATGTGGGTCGGGTAGAAGAAGATGGGCACTGTTATTCGCCCGCCCTTGATGCAAGGACAAGGTTCAGGAAATTAGCAAAATATCTCGGAACCAATGTTGCGTTCCCCGAAATCTCTGACGGAGTGTTATTCGGAACATCTATCTTCGCAGCCGTTCCCTGGTTTAGGTTCGCCTATTACTATGTTTGCGTGCTAATTCTGTGCTGCGGTTTTTTGGCTACTATGCATGCTACTCTTTGGATCCTTTGGCAAGCGCTGCTTCCTGTTGCGCGTTGGCGCCTTGATCTCGGGCATCTTGGGTACGCCGTGGCGCTGCGTGCCAAAGATGACTAAGTCGCAGTCTTGGAGAAGCAGTGGCGTCTTGTCAATCCTGGACTTACGTTTAAGGGTGTAGGGTTTCTTTACAGGTTCAGAGGTCAGGGAACAAGGCTGAACACTATTGCACCGCGCGCTGGTGTTCCTTTTCCTTGGCCTATGCATGAACAAGAAGATGGACAACGCGATGCGTTCTTGTAGTATAACGATCCTTAACTTGATATTAAGTTGCTCTGATATTCTCATTCATTTTGAGCACAAGTCAAGATCATCACAGCACATGTTGCCAGGGCTGGACTTCCAGACTGAGGACTGACCAGGTCTTTACTGCGCATTTGGCGTTGTTGTTGGGCGCACAGATGGATTGCGCCGTAACAACCATTATCCCTATATAACAGCACCATACTGTAAAGTAGTTTCCAGCTTCTTTTCCAATATTATAACCCCCAATATTCTGAGGGGATTCACCAGTCCGGGTCAAGGGATTGTCGATTCGTATGCGCATCACTCTGCAAATCAGAGCAATAGGCAGCATGCGGTTCAGGGATTTTAGGGTTTAGGGTGACAGCATTTTGTTCTACTCTGATCCCTTTACTCCCCCAGATTCCTTACCTTCACGCCACCAGATCAATTTCGACAGCACTGCTCAACTAAGGCAAGGCTCGTCAGAATGCGCTCATAGCCAAAAGAGAACAGGGCTGTCCAGCAGTCATGGCCTCGACTTGGCCACCATCACGCATTCTTCCTATGGAAATGTTCAGGCCATGCTAGTTCAGCTACTAGAACGGCAGCTTGAGGGCTTCAAAGTTCGGGGCTTTCCAGGAGAGGTGGCTTCTAGCCTGTAAAACAACTCGCGTACTATTGCTCATCCGAACTTCTCGCAGACCGAACTTGCTCCAGGAAAAGGAAAACATAACGAAGGATGAAAGGTACCCGGTATATGGTCGCTAATAGTGGGTACACACAAAATACCCACTATTAGGGACCATATGTTGGCCTTATCAAGAGATGTTGCCCAGCTGCGGTGACTTCCCAGAACAGAGTCGCCATCCTTAATTCAAGACTGGTCACAGACCAACATGAGCTCTAGTCTAAACTGCTAGTATCCCCCTTAATAACCCCTATAGTAGTCCCCTATATTATCCCCTATATACCCCCGTTTTAAGGAGTTTAGACTGTAGCTCACATGGAAGCACGCCAAAGGCGGGGCCTACGTAGGCTCCTTGCATTCGGCATGTTGGATCATATTGCCAGGGCAGAAAGCCCAATATCGTCCATCTACCAGTCAGGATTCCTCGCACAACATTTGCCTGCCCTAGACCCCTTTGGACCCCATGATGCGTGACACGGCAAACCTCTGTTTTCAAGTGATGCTACCTTGCCCAAGGTATCGTACCTACCCCAAACCTTGGGTACTGCCCCCCCCCCAGTAACAGTCTATATTAGGGGTCCTATTATGGGCTATATATAACCATGTTATACTTATTATCCAACTGTTACTGAGGGGGGGCAGTACCCAACCTAAACCCTGAACCCACAGGGGTAGTAGGGGGAGCCCATGATTAAAGCATCCCGACTTTCAGCCAGCTGCTTGCAAGTGAGCATCTGGATACCAGTTGAGGCCAATGCCCGAAGTCCGCTCCGCTATGCCATACCTATAGGGTATAGGGTTAGATTGGTGTTGTATAGGGATAAACCTACAGGGTTTAGGGTTGTATTGGGGATAATGGATAATAGAATGCAAGCTACTATAATAGGGTTCCATAGGCTTAGGGTTTATAGGGTTTAGGGTTGTGGGAGGGAGCTCCAGAAGGGGCATCAGCAGGCTATGAAGCGCTTATAGAGGAAAAATGGAAGACTTAGGTTTATTCTATGGTTGGGGGATGGAGCCCTTTGGATGTTAGGAGCTCTACCGGAGGCCTAGAATAGACATCCCTCCCACGTTCTAGAAGAGCCTGAGAACTAATCCCCTCCCTATAAACTATAGTCTCCTTGTGGTAAACTATAACATCGTGAGAATATTTGATATCAGGGGGGCGGGGGAGGGGATTATACTGTGACTACTCTGAGGTCGTCCAGATACTAAACTGCCGTTTTAAAGGGCCCCCAATGTTTTGAGAGATCCCCCTAGTTGAGGAGAGTGTGGGTGCAGGCCAGTAGGTATAGGTTCAGGTGCACGGCTTGCTTTGGGGACAAAGGCGTTCGACCTTAAAGTTCACCCACATTAAGAAACCTTCCTCGGGTCATAACTTAATCTTAGCTGGAGCCCCCACCCCGTAATAGTGACTATCAGGGATAGTAAGGAATATATGAGGGTCCTATTATATTCCTAGTATACCACTATTACAGGGTGGGTGGGTCCTCATAACTTAAACCCATGAAACCTCACATGCCGGCAGCTGAGGAATAGTTACCCCCTAATCAGCATGCATATCCCGCAAATCTGTCAGTAGTTGAGGTTACAGGTCAAACCAGGACTTGGAATGAAGGTTACATAGATTGAAGAGCATTACTTAACTCATAGGGTTCTTCAGAGGCTTCCAAAAGCGGTTCGCGTATACAATAGGAAGGAAAATTCCTGATGGTCCCACAGTGTCACGTAGTTATCTTTAACTAGCACTCACCCCTAGCCAGCTTCTTCAAAATCACAGCTCAAGCACTCCGAGAAGAACTTCTGGAGCAACTTGTCGAAGGCTGGCGATGAGCCTATGAAAGGAGCTCAACAACTGTTGTGAAACCTTGCTTAGGGTTTAAGGCTTCGGGTCTAAGGCTTAGGGTCTAGGGCTTATAGTGTTAAAACAATTGCTGGCGCAGTAGCTATGACTACTACTGACGTCAACAAGCAGCTGTTGTCATGACTAAAGGTTCCTCATGGAAGTAGACGGTGCTCTGCCCTAGGGAGTTTCCGATACGGATCCGTAGCTGCACCTTCATCCCCAATGTTGAATAGCGTGTGAAGCTTCTACATGCAAGAATCTTTGGTACTGCCGATAGCTGCAAACTTGACCTGACAGGTACGCCAAAGTACAATGCTTGCCACAGTTGTGTGAGGTGCTTTGCATGCAAACACAAGTCCAAAGGAAAATGAAAACTAATGAGCCTGTAGTGCTGTTTAAAAGAGGACACCATGGATCTAGGGATTAGAGTTAATGGAAAATCAAATGGAAAGCCCAACCGAAAATGTCATGGAAACTAGGAGTATGTGAAACCAGCCGCAGGGGCCAGCGCTTGGGGCCTCCAGGCTCAACTAGTTGCAGGACACGCTTCTGCATGTTTCCCACGACACTAATCTAAACCCTATAAGCCCTATAAGCCCTAAACCCCTAACCC